CATAACAAACACGAAAAGAAGCACCGGAATGCGCGCAAGTGAGCGAGCAAGCGCGCACACCGACAGAAACCATACCATAACGCAAATCCCGTTAGTTGGCATTTTTTTTTTCTCTCTCACTGCACTTCTATACTGTGTGCTATGTGTGTGCTAACGATTTTCTATCGACTTCAAAACACACATCATCGACTCAAAATGAGAATCTCAAAGCACACGAGGAGCCATGGCTCGAGAGAGTATTTCCATTCACATGAATACCATCGGAATGCACAACACAATATTAGAAAATACCGCAAAAATTCCGCATGTTGTTCGTTCGTTCGTTCGATATTTTTTCATTCCCCTCTTGCATTGCATTTCATTTTATTCTCATGAAAAAACATCATGTCTAATTACGTTACGAATGCCATCTCTAACTCTCTCGACGTCTATTTAAATTTAAAGTTAAAACTTTGTGAGCACAAAAGCCACGAGAGCATCATCACGACAGCACGAATATGCAAAATGCACAAACACTAAAGGCAAACACAATTAAAGTTTCGTTCTGTGATTATTATGGTCGTTGCAAGTTTTTGCCAATTCGAAGAAAACTTTGCGCTAACACACACACACACACACACATACATGCACACACCCATTAGCATTTTCTTATCTAATAATTTTAATATTCTGGAAGTTTTTCTCGTCAAGAGACCGATCGATGGCAGGAAGGTGGAGGCAAAGCGGTGCATGTCACTTGATGTTGTAATTTTGTCATTGAAACCATACGTAAATTCGCATTAGTTTCTATCGTTTCGACGTTTGAAGGCAAACCGTCACTTACCTTTCTGGTTTTCGGGCGAAGAAAATTGAGAGCGAGCAAGCGAACGAGCGCGCGCGCGAGCACAGCGTATAATTGCATTAGTGAAATCTGTCGAATACATGATTATTGCAACGTGCAAAGATCAAGTGAAATAGATGCAAGCATCAACTTCAATTTTCCAAATAACTTATCAGATTGCATTTGACGTGTAACATACACCACGTGTCTACTACCGATCCATATGTATTTATATCTCATCGTCGTTACCATCTCTCGATGCGTCGAGCTCAAAGTGATATGCAATGCACACATATCGATATTGTATGTGAATCACACCACCCACCCATCCATCCATCTATCCAACTCCTTCGACATCGTTTGCAAATTGCAATATATGCGCGCTTCATTGTAACTAACCCGCGCTCGTAGCAACATACACACACACAAAAACTGCACACATATTTTATTCATTTTATGCATTGCTGCCAAAGTTGCGAAAGGTTAAATTATTTATTCAGCGGGTATCTTTATCCAGAAAATTGTGCCGAAAGACCAACTGGAAACGAGGGAAGGAGAGAGTGAGCGAGAAAGCAAACCAATGTGCATACGAAGCCAATTTGAGCATGTATCGCATTTTCACTCGAAAAACACCAAATTGAGTGCTTTATACAAAATTCATTCATTAGCCGCTTTTTCTTTCTCGCTTTCTCAAGCAAAAGATTGACAATTTGCAATTAAAATTTCAAGTGAAAAGTCATGCAGGAGTTTCTTCATGTCAATCAATTTCTTGAAATCGGTTTCGAGCGAGAGAGAAAGGAAAAAAAAAACGACAAGAATCATCGTTATCGTTGCTCGAACTGAAGTGGAAAATCGTGTACGTTTAAAGTGACGTAAATTGCATTTGAAATCGACTTGGAAGATCTGTGGATTTCACTCATGAATAACATGAATTTTCCAATGCACTTTCCGTCATTTCCATTTGAATAAAGGAAAGCTCAAGTGTTTTTACTTCGAAAGAATTTTTCCTTTAAAAAGTCGAGTCCAACGGTGTTGAAATATTGCACATTCTTCAAATTTTCAAGTGCACTTTCGAAGCGCTCAAATGGAATGCAACTCAAGAACATCAACCGAGATGCTTGATTCAACCATCATTGACCATTGTTCTTAATTGAAAAGCAAATTTTAAACAAAGTGCTTTTAGTCCGTCATTATTCAAAAATTCGAGAAAATAATCAGTAGTTACACTGTGAATTGTAAACCACGAAAAGGGTAACCGCATTCAAGTTTAAGTCACATGGAAAATTGCACAAACTGGAACATTTTATGCCAGGAAGTTGGACTAATAAAAAAGCACTTTATATTTGGTGTGCAACATGATCCGATTATAGTGTTTTTTTACGCACATTTTCTCCAATGCATATTTTCTGTGTGCGTGCACATTGCTCATTTCTTGAGCAAAAACTATCATCGCCGTCGACGATGACGTCATTTGGTCATATATACAAAGTAAACAAAAATAAAACTCAAACTGAGCGAAAATGAAAAGAAGAAGAGAAAAAAAAATTGTCGTTGGCCAGAGATATAATTCCGTATTGTGCGTTCACTGCTCATAAATCGGATGAACAAAAAAATTGAATGTCCCATCGTAATAACACAATGTAAGTTGATGGCCGAACGGTAAACTGCCATTCAAAAGTGAATCGAGTGAGAGCGATTATATGGTGGTAGTGAGTAGGTACTCTGTATTTCATTTCAAATTGTTCAATGAGTAATGGACAGTTCGGCATATTCATGTGCATTAAGCACATTCGTCGCAGTGCTCATAAATAATGGATTTTTGCTGTATGCCACTTTTTTTCTGCGTGTGTTTCTATTGTCGATTTTTATTGCATTCATTTCCACCTAAAGCCGACTCTTCCAAGAACTAGATTTCAAATAATCGTGCACCTCAAATTAGAAGATGTAAAGAAATAGAAAAAAACCAGTATGAACGATTTGTACAATAGCCCAGTCTTTGTTGTTGCTGATTCGTTTGGTTTTCTTCTGAAAAAAAAAAGTATTCTATTAACTGAATAACCCGTTTTCATTGAATGCGACGTGTTGTGTCTTGTTTCGTTGTGATTCCCGCACGGCAGAAGGAACAAAACAGCGATTGCGCTCGAAACAGCATTTATCTTAAACACACCACTTTGAATGGATTCGGTGAAGTCGTGTATAGTTGTGCCGCTGAATGAATGAAACGCAACGTGCAATTCACCTTTTGTCAGACCAAAGACGCTATAAAATATGTAAACATGCTGAAAAAACACGTTGTAAAATGCGTTTCAATTCATACATTTGATATCCCTTTCACGTATGAGCTCTCTGTTCGGCGGCTGATGCTGATGCCTTGCCACTGAAATGATCGGCCAACCGATTCTCTCTTCGTTTTATTTTTTTCATTTTATGCAAATGCAAATGACCCCATGAGACTTGAAGTAGAAAAAAAGGCTAAAAAAGAAAAGATTTACAAAACAAGATTGAATTGGTTTGTGCATTGATCGTCTTTATGGTACAAGTCTCTCTCTCTCTCTCTCTCTCTCTCTCTCTCTCTCTCTCTGCTTCTTACTCACTTACTCTCTTCAATGGTTCTATTTTCTAGTCAAACACCGCGCGCGCACTCCATTTCAATACCGTTTGAAAATGTGGTTTTTTTTCTCTCAACTGGATCAAATAGTACATTTTGTGATGTTTGTTTGTTGTTTTTTTTCCCCTCTATCATCGGATTTCAATCGCTTTTTACTCTGTACGCTTTGATGGCGGCGGCTTTGTTGCTCCATTAAAGTTATTGCGCAATAAAATTTGATATATCAATATCATTCGAATGCATTAAAAAAAATTGAAATGCTTCAACAAAGTTGTGTTGTTGTTGTTGTTTGTGGCTGTTTTTCAAATTGACCACCTATTGACTCAGCGGCGAAGCCACTTTTGAATCAAGAGAACATCAAAATAAAGTATAATTTTCTCAAAGTCAATGATGCTAAATTATATGTTGTTAGACGAGAGATAGATTTCGTGCAGATGCGAAGCGTGTGTATGTGCTGTGCTGTGCTGTGCGCGAGTTAATATCCATAGATATTATACTTTTATTATTATTCAGCACATTGCACAATGCATAAGTAAAATGTTTGTTTTGATTGTGTTAATTATATTTGGAAATTCGGTTTCAGGTTTTGATTCGTGTTCATAAAAACATTTATATATTTTGATTATAAATCAAAATCAATGTCAAGCTATTTCAATATCATTAACAGGCTTGACTAACGAATATAATGAACACAATCGATAATGAAAATTTTGTATTCCAAAAGTAACAGTATAAATAACTCTAGAACTCATTGTTATTTAGTTCAGTTTCCCAAAGAAAATAATAAAAACACATAGTGTTCAATCTACGAAAACTGGTCTCACTTGTTTTATTTTAACATTGAAACATTTCATCGTTCTTGAGACACGCCGTCTCTTAACTGGGGGCTCAACAGGGAAAGTTTGAAGAGATCTGTTTTATTCTCATAAAAAGGTGATTACACATCGAGTCGAGTGTAATAGTAAAGCAGTGAGCTTACTTTCCTGAACCAATTCAAAATTTATATAAACAAAAGGACAAAAAAGACATTTCAAGAATTGAACCAATCACAATGTGTCCAATAAATATAAATAATGATTTAGTGGAAATGAATAAAGTAGAGAAAGAATCAGGAAGAATTCTTGAACACACAGACAATACGAAAGAAAAATGTACCGTCGTTTTCGATCATAATTCATTCGTACAACAAAATCAACGAAAAGGAAAAAACATTTCTTTAATTGACGAATCACCACCATCCAAATTAACAAAAAAGGCAACTGCCGAATTTACTGGCAATAAAGTAATTGACACGAAAAAAAACGGATCAAGAATTCACATTTGAAAATGCTGACTTTGACGGGAGAAAGGAATCAACAACCATTTTAAAAAATAAAGAGATGTAAATGATCGAAGCGATTGAAGATTGCAGCAGTTTATTATGATCAATTCAAAAAGACATGAACATTTGTATTATTGAAGATATTTGATGATTATTAGATGTACAATGATGAATTTCTTTTTCAACGCTACACAGTTTTTTTTACAAATCAACAACACTTGATTATGAGAATAAACAAACAAATATCGGCAACACGACATCTATTTTCTTGTATGAAGGTGTAAGGTGCCTCCGCTTGAGAAAACTGTTCCACCGCTATTGATGTTGATCTGCACATGTTTGCCGCAATCTGCCTTTTTTCTGTCTTTCAATTCTGAAAACAATAATGGTTACACAAATTACAAACATATTGAACTAACAATAAAATATTTTACTTTTATAAATGAAAACTTACCTGAGAATAACTTTGAATTCTTACATGCCGCATCAAACACAAATTGAACGAATTTAAAAATATTTTTGAACTTTTCGTCTGACATGAGTTTCGTTCTAGCATTATTTTCGGCTGCGTTTGTGGCTTTTTCCGCTTCAGTTGCTCCCTCGGCAACCATCGAAGTGGAGACTTGCTGCACGTCTAAAATTTAGAACAAAAAGATAAGATAAATATATAGAAAGTGAAATGAGCTGTGATTAATAAAAATTTTTTATTCAAGTTTAATTTTTTGATAGAAATTGAAATGAGTTATTTGGAGAAATTACCTTTTATGTACTGTTCATAGGCAGAACATTTTGCCATAAATGTTATATCTACGGCATTGATCAGAAAATCCATCACATCGGCTGGGCTCCCAAAACTTCTGCTTGGATTGTTATCGTCCATTGTCTTCAAAGCTTGCGAAATTTTGCTCAAATCATCTTCCATTTTTACCTTAGTCACTAAAAATAATATGCATGTTACTTGTAGTAAGTACATTTTGCTATCGTTGCAGTGTGACTGTGTAAACGCGAAATCTTGACTGAATACTTTTCAATTCTTTCGCAGCAATTTATACTAAATTATAGACATAACAAGTGCGTTAATGCATATTATCCAAACTGCAGAATTGCATATTTGGTTGAAAGACAATTCGGTTATCAGTTTTTGAACTATATTGTGTACTTTGTACTACCGTGTTTGTGTTATCATTTAATTAACTAACGAAACACACACATCAAACATAAAACATGATATTTGTTTTTGATGATAACTTACATTTAAATGCAAACATTTTATTGTTGAAGGGCACATCAAACATTTGTATTTTTTTTGGTTGACTCTGATCTAAATCATATTTTAAGCATCGATCAAATAATGATTTATGTTCATCTGAGTCCAAAAATTGCAGATTTGAGGTAACTTCTGAATCCACTCGATACGGATCAAATTTTACACATTTGATGATTGGATAATCGATTTTATAGCATTTTGATGTATTTAAAGAGTGAATAAATCCTAGTTCATTTGATAGAGATGAGTTTAAATTCTCCAAGCATTTTTGAAACAAGTATTCACATTCACAATGTCGAATATACGCTTCGATTGTGTAATTAAATTCAATATGTTTATGTGCCTCACATTTATGAAGCGAACGACAGCATAAATCCAAGTGATCGCTATCATTTAAATATGTTCCTTTTTTTACGGTGACAAATGTGGATTCGAATAATCTTTTTGGCGTGATTTCGGTTGGCAATAAAACTGACTCACAGAATTCTGTATCACTTAGATGCTTAGCCACAAAATCGTTTGCAGCATTTTCATAAAATGTCAACAAGTTTGATCCAGAAACAATTGCATTTATGGATCGAATAATCAAAAACAGTAACAGGAACATACAAAATAAACAAAATTGCTTAGTTTCCATGTTTCAATTTACGTAAAAAAAATTTAATCGTGGGACAGATACACAAAGTTAGTCACTGATTGAAAATCCAAACACTACTAAACCAAAGAATCAGTGAACATTGAAAATAAAGCAACGAAAATGGCATCATCATCATTGGAATTTCCTACTGTTACCTTTTGTTAATATTTTCTAGAATAAAACTCGTTCGATGTATTTGATTTGGATGAATTTACGATTGGGATTGATATTGAATCCATTAAACAACATTCCCAAGTGGAACATATAAATGACCAAACGTTGTTTTCACAACACAGATGCATCTCAACATGTTGCAATCGTAAAACTTCGTGAGAGGGAATTTTAAACATTTGAAATTCTGAATGAATGAAATTCAGTCAAATATTTAGACGGCTTTTGTTTACATTGTGTTGTTGTCGTTGCTGCTGTTGTTGTTGTTATTTTTCGTCATTTCTCCGTCGATATTTTGTCAATATAATCTATATTGAAATAAAGATTCCAGCCATTTCGGAACATCCAAAAGTGAAAATTATAATTAGCCATTATTATTACTATGGATGATACAAAATTTAAAATACCTGAAAATGGTTTTAATTTTAATGACTATTGCATCTATTATGCTCTCAACTTCTTATTTAATCAAGCATCATAGAACCGCATTTGAGAAGTAAACCAAAACAAAAACGCTATCTATATAAATTTTATAATATAAATGTCGATTCTGACAACTTGTCAATTTTCAATAGGCAAGCTTTTCGAAATTCAAAATCATTGACTACTTGCCTATTTTATGACTAATGTTTCCGACATTTGAAAACACGGTATTGTGTTCATTTTTAAATTCATGACCTTTTTAGAACAATGCTGTTATAATTATAAACGATTAAGGACAATCGATTTTGTATTCCAAAAGTAACAGTATAAATAACTCTAGAACTCATTGTTATTTAGTTCAGTTTCCCAAAGAAAATAATAAAAAAACATAGTGTTCAATCTACGAAAACTGTTCTCACTTGTTTTATTTTAACTTGGAACATTTCATCGTTCTTGAGACACAACGTCTCTTAACTCGCGCTCATCTTTCGTTCGGGTGTTGTTTCGACCTCGCTGCTAATAATTCGTTGTTTGTGCGGGAGAGATTGCGATAAAGCCCCGGAGACCACCAGCAGTGAGAATTCGGATGCCAAATAAATCCTAAATAGATGGTAATAGTCGTATACAATGCACCAGAGTATCAAAATCGACGCTCTCTAGCCATTCGGTGGGTGTTCCCGTCTTTCTCTTAAGCTCGCTCGCTATCTATCTCTCGCCATCGACATTCCGTCGAGGAGAGATAACTAAAAAATTTCATAAACTATTTTCTAGCTGAAATGGCGCGACCCGAATCGGGAGCATACACCAGCGAATCTGAGCAGCTGTAAAATACAATCATTTCATTTAACAAAATTGAACGTCGTGCTACTGCTGCGGCGGCTGATTCTGCTGCTGGAAAATGTTTTACCGAGATTTTTGTCTTAAGTCTCGCACATTTGTGCCAAACGAAAACCGACAGTCGGAAAAGTCGGTTTGGGGTTTTTTTTTTTCGTTCACATCTCTCGACAGGCGAAAAGCTCGCCCGAAAGAAAAGTTAATACCACAACGCGAAACGCAGAGCAAGGCAAACAGCGAACATAAGAAGAAGAGGAAAAAAAAACATTGGACGAGCGAATGTAATTTATATATTAATTTAATGTCTTACTCATGTTCACATAAATATTTTCCTGATTTACAACTATTTACCATGATGATTTACATTGGCGCTTTCGCTCTCCGCCATGCAACGAACAGAAAATCAGCGTCTTTATGTGCGCTCGTTCGCTCGCTCGGCACAAGATTGAAAAAAGGAAAACCCGTTGGGTTTTCTCAAGCATTGGGTGATTTAATGAAGCGAAATGGAAAATGGAAAACGAAAACGAGGAGAAAAAAAGCAACAGAAAGAACTAAGTAAGCATCTAACAAGCATCCAAGTTTTTCTCGTGAATGTCAGTTTATTTTTTTAGCGTCCTGAATTTTCGTTGAATGTAATAAAAGCACATACGGGCTGCGTGTAAGAGAGAGAGAGAGAGAGAGAGAGAGAGAGAGTAAGCAAAACTTTACGACATTGATCATTGCATGTTATTATACATGCCGTCAGTTCTCATATGAATTTTAAATATGTTTTCGATACAGAAGAACTGCAGCAGAGAAAAAATTGGAGTCGCATGACAACACAGCACAGCTTCAGCTCGCATTCTCATCGTATTTCATCGACATTGTCGGGTATTGTTTATCTTTGGTGAAAATTTGTCATGTTCTTCTATGCTTTTCTTTGAGCAAAACTACTTCTCCCGCACTCACCATACCACCACATCACATTTTGTATTCGATATGAATTTAAATCATTGTACTCTTCGAGAGCACAGTGATTGAATGCGATTTCGTTTTCGATATCAGCAGCGCTTCCATTTCCTTCTCCGCATTTTCTTCCTCTCTTTTTCTATTCATAGCGCTGTTGTCTATTCAGCAAAACGTAGAAATACCGAACGAGAGTGTGAAAGAGAGAGAGAGTGAGAGAGAGAGAGAGAAGAACGGTCGTTGAATAGAGATTGCGGTGAGTGACAACAATGAACAATAGACGAACAAAATAGAGAGAAGCGTACACATCACTTTGAGCAAACTATAAAATATGCATAATTTTTTTCCGAATGACAACAAACTCGACAAACAGCATGTGGCACTAGCGAAAGTGAGCAAACGATGGAAATTCGTTGTGCAAAAATTGGAATAAATCACATACACACAAAAACTTAATAAAAAACGAGTAAATATTTGATGCTGCACTGTGGCGAGTTGGACAATGCGAATGGCAAAAAAAAATTATTATTTCTATTTACAACAATCAAAGCAAACGAAACGGCATTTGAATGGGAAAATCGACCAGAAGTTGCGCGACATGGCTGCGATTTTCGAGTATTTCTGCGTCACATAGGCGCCATATAGATTCAACATTCCAAGAACCATTTCCTTTTCACTCACTCGCTTAACTCGACCATCATTCATTTTCAATATGGTCGCAAATAATTTCAATTACACACTCTTAATGGTTATAAATTATGGTTATGCATCGCTTCAGTTTGGCATGTGTATTCATTTCAATTTTCCCCTTGCTTTCCTCGTTATGCTATTTTTAGAAGAAAAAAAAATCGAATGAAATAAGGAAAAGTACCTCAAAATGATTAGATGCTCGATTTTATTGCCACATTTGGCTTTGTGCACCATTTTTCATCCGTACACACTTTACATAATGTCGTATTCTAAACCGTTGGAAATTGTCGCCTGTCGTCGTCGATGAACTTTTGATGGTGTGTTTATGCCATCGCTCATTCAAGCACAGACACTCACACAGCGCAGACATAGTCTAGCTTATGTAAGAACTGAGTGTGTCGAAAGAAACACGAAAATGTATCCATCATCAAAGTGTAGACGCATTGCGAGACAGCTACATGGTTCTTGAATTTGAACAACGCACTATAAAATTGTTTCGACCGAAAAAAGCCCTTTTTTGAGAGTTCGATGTGTTGCCAACGTTTTCCTTATCCTTTCCTCAGAAACACACACACACTCACCACATTTCCCATGCGTCACAAGCTTCTTCGTTTCGTGTTCATTGACGATAATCCTAATCATGGGTAGACACACAACGACGCATCCATTTGTGAAACGGTTCACAAAATTTCGAGTCGATTGTTATTGGTCGGGGTGTTTTTCGCATTGATTCACTTGACTGTGATCGCGACATAGCGCATCTTATGTACTGACTGACTGTGCGAAGTGAAAAAAAGAAACGGAAAACGCTTATGTACTTGTGGAATAATTTGCGAATCACACTCGAAATGAAAAAAGCGCTCAAGATTTCGATGCGTATGGGATATATGAACACCATTTTGGTTGA